CTTAACTACTTTAACGTTAGTTTCTTTTTCTATTTCCCTATTTAAGGCCTCTTCTTATAACTATTAGGAAGGGGGGATTTAGATCTTTTAAATTAGCTAACGTTATAAGAGTAAGAGGGGCTATTAATCCCTTTTTCTATTAAAGAAGCTAGATTTATCGAAAATTATATCCCTAGTCGAAATAACCTTTTATAAAAAAGGAATCTAAATCCGGAAGATATTTATAGAATTATAGCTAACGAGGTAACTAATAAAAGCTTTAAGATTAAGCTTTCTTTTCTTCTTTCTTTTTAGCTATATATTAATAGTTATTATATATACCTTATAGCTATAAGTATAAAGGTAGGCTAGGGAGGCCCTCTTTTTTATAAAGAGCTTAAGAGGAGATTCTAGTTTATTACTTAGGTCTTAATAAGGGTCTCTAGGTCCCTATAGTCTTTTAAGCCCTTACGGTCCCTTAGGGTCCGGTTTTAAAGGTAATAGGCGGTCTTAACGAGTTCCCTTTAAAGGTTATAGGGAAGCTTTATAATAAGTCTTATTATATAGGCCCTTTCTATTATAGCACCCCCTAATCTTTCCGCTCCTCCGTTCTAGGCCTAGGTATTTAGTGCTAATAGGAGGGGTAAAATACCCCTTTTTTAAAGCTAATTTAAGATATCCTTCGTAAATAGCTCTCTATTAAACTATATCTTCTTTACCTTATAGCTAAAGTAGGATTTTATTTAGTTAATAAAGCCCTAGAAGGTAAACTAGTTATACTTACTTAGGTAGGTTTATAAGAAATAAGGGAAAACTATCCTTAAAAAAGCGTCTATAAAAAACATTACCCTAATAAAGCTTTCTTAATCCCTAGAGATATCGGTTTAGTCGACCTAAATTTCCTTATATAGCTAGTCCGGCTATAAAAAGGTTCGTTTAGAAATTCGTCTCTTAGTCTTTTCTTAGCTATAGTATTTATATTTAACGGTCTTTAGGCCCTTTATTTATACGCCCTATTATAGGCCTAGCTTATATAAAGCTAGGGGGCCTAAGTAACTAAGTTATACGTACTAAAGAAGGCGGTCTCCTTAGGCTGCTAGAAGAGGGTCCTTTATAGTAGACCTATTCTTCTTAGTAGGGAAAGCGAACTTCTTAAGTAATTCCTTCCTAAGGATAGGTTAGAATTCGAGAATAAATTAGCCGAATTTCTCTTTAATAAGCCTAATAGTCTAATTCTTCTAAACTAGCCTTATAGGCTTAGACGTTATATCCTAAAAGATCCCTTTCTTTTAAAGAAAGTAAAAGGAAATTAAGCTCGTTAAAAATTAAAGGTAAAAAGCTACCCTTTTTCGTCGAAGAATTTATATAGACCTATTAGGTAATCTTATCGTAAAATTCACCCTTCTATATCCTTCTATCTATATAGTTAATTCCCTAGTAATAAGATATTCCTTTTATACCTTTTTAAAGGACCGGAAGTATAAGAGTATATTATAGATATTAAGGGAAGTACTAGAGTTAAGGATAGCTAATTTTTATAGGGGATAGTTAGAGGGCTCTAACGGTTAGTAATTTTTCCTCGAACTTATAGCTTAAATAAGGGCAGCGGCGTTATTAGTTACTATTTCTTAGTAACCTAAATCTCGTCTATCTTCTTTTATAATAAAGGGTCCTCCTTAAGAGACTATTATACTATTTCTTATAGCCTCTTTAAAGGGTTAACTCCTTTAGGTCGGTTTTCCTTAAAGACCTACTAGTAGTCTTCTAGCTAATAGGGCTTTTTTTATACTTAGTAGGTAGGTCTATTCCTCCTTATTCGTGTCTTTAAGGAATCCTTATCCCGGTCTAAAAGGTTTGCTTAAAAACACCCCCTTTTTACCCCTTATTACTAATTTTAATAAAGAGGTTCGATTTTAAGTAGTTCCTTAATATTTCGACTAACGGACTAAAAGGTTTATTAGGGGACTAGTCGGGCTAGTTTAATAGACGGGACCGGGCCTAGAGTAGAAGGCAGAGCTAAGGCCGGGACTAAGGCAGCCGTTAAAGATAGGGTTAAGGCTCTTAAAGGAGGAGGAGCTAAAGAAGTAATAGCTATAGTAGTAGGGGCTATAGTAATAGGGGTTATAGTAACTATAGGTCGAACTATCTAGGTCGAGTACTAGCTATAAAGGAATAAGACTACTTACTATTATACTTTAATAGCCTCTTTATTTAGTTCTTAGCTAGCTTCTTAAAAGATAGTTAAGTAACCGTTACTAATAGGCTTAATTAATAGAGATATATCCTATAGCTACTAGCTAAAAAGAGCTTTTATTAAGAAGTATTAGTTAGCTTCCTTAAGGATTTCTTCCTACTTAGCTAGCTATAAAGAAGCTAGTAGGTTCTTAGTAGAAAAGGCTCTTAGATATACTATATAAGTCTTCTTAATCCGGTTAGTTATATAGCCCCTTAAGGGAGCTATTAAGGTCTTAAGCTTTAAAAGCTATTACCTAAGGGTCTCTTCCTCTTAAAGAGATATTAGCTTTATAGTATTAATAAATTCTATTATCGCTATATATATAGTAGTTAGTAGCTTTATCTTATAAAGGTACTCCTTATAGTAACTTTTATAGTTACCTAAGGTAGTAGAAAAAGCTCTCTATTATATAGAGGTTAGCTTAAAGAAGAGGGTAGCTCCCTTTATAAATCCTATTGCCCTAAGATAAAGAGGAGGCTTTAAAGGGTCCTACTTAATAAAGAAAACTAAATTATAGATAGTTCTATCTATATAAGCCTATAGCTCCTTTACCTACTTATCCTAATCTTAAGGCTCTACTAGAATTATCCTATAGACTATAGGGATAGTAAAGGAGTCGGTTTTTATTATTATTATAAAGAAGGGTAAGAAAGATAGGTAAAAATCAGCTTTTTTAGTAAGAAGGGTAAAAGAAAGCTATAAGGGATATAAGAAAGGTGCCTTTTATAGTAGCTAAAAGGTATAGGAATACTATTCCTCTTAGGCTTATAACTCTTATAAAGAGAGATATAAGAAGTATATATAAAATATATAAAGGTAAAAATTAAAAGTAAGGGGATAGATAGGTAGGGCTAAGCTATTTAATTCTTATAAGGGTAGTAATCGAGGTAAGGGAGTAATTATTATATTGCCTTAATTATCCTTCTTTCTTATATCTAACGCCCCTTTTATACTTATTTAGTATCTTAATTAATAAGGAAGATCCTACTTAAAGAAGCTACTAATATCCTTTTAACTACTAAGCTTTTTACTAGTTTTTCCCTTCCTTTTTAGCTATTACTAGTATATCTATTTTATCTCTCGCTACTTATACTTCCCCTTATACTCCTACCTTCCTTTCTATACTTTTTTTTTAGCTCCTTCTTCCTTCTTTTATACTAGGTATTTTTAGCTTCCTTAGTCCCTCTTATTAAAGGATATCTTTAATAACTATAAAATTAAGCTATACTTTATAATAGAACTATAGTAGGTTAAGTACTTAAGTAGTTCCTAGTTATTTTCCTTTAGTTTATATCTTTTTTATTTAATAAGGTATTTTTATTACTAACCTTATTTTCTTATATTTAGTATTTATTTAGCTTTATATTCTTAATTATTATTAACTTTAATTTTTACTTATAGTTTAGCGTTTTATAGTACTAGTTTTAATAATAAGATATAAAATATTAAGTATATCTATATTATTATTAGTAGTAAAAGTTTATAGTTAACTTTTAAAATAGCTTTCTTAACCTTAAATATTTTAAGTTTCTTTAAATTTAATTTATTACTTAGTCGTTTTATTTTAATATTTTACTATATAAGGTAGACTATATCTCCCTTTTAAAAGATTAGTCCTTATAATCTTTTTTAATTATAGTAAGTAAATATTTATTCTTTAATAAATTAAAGTTCTTATTATATTTTTTTTATATAATATTTATAGCTAATCTACTTATAATATTACTTATTTTACTTATAGTTTTTATTAAGTAACCTTAAATACTTCTAGCTTATATTTATAATTACTATATACTAATAAGAGCTTAGTTATTTCTATAACTAAGCTATTATAAGCTAGTTATACTATTAATAGCTATTTAACTTAATTATTTTATTTATAGCTGATATAGTATTATAAATATTATTTAAGCGTTTAGTTAAGTCGTTCTAATTATCTATTTATTTATAGGTAATAAGCTATACTAAGCTTAGATTTCGTTCTTAATTATACTATAAGACCTTACTAAAATTTAGCTATAAATATACTTCCTTTATTAAATATAATCTTATTTAATAGTCTATAATTACTAATAATTATTTATAGGAATATATATACTAGCTCTTTTATATTACTTACTTTTTTATATAGTAAAAAGTATTTATACTTTATTAATTTATTAGTAATAACGAATATACTATTATTGTCGCGAAGCGTGGCCTGATTTCGCAGTTTTCGAAGATATCCCTTGGCAAGAGGGACTAAGGAAGCTAGAAACACCCGGTGTAGAAGAAGGAGCCGAGAAGAGGTGCAGAAAGGAGGGTAGGGGCATAAGGGAAAGCATAAAGTAGCGAGAGATAAGACGGATATGCCGGAAACGGCTGCAAAGGAAGGAAAAACCGGCAAAAGCTCGGTAGTTAAAAGGACATTAGTGGCTTCTTTAAGCAGGATCTTCTTTGTTAATTGAGATGCTAGACGGGTATAAATAGGGGCGTTGGATAGAGGAAAGAAGGACAATTAAGGCAATACAACAGTCACTCCCCTACTGCAATTGTTGCCCCCGCAAGATTCAAATATCTCTGCCCTGCCTGTCTGACCCCTTACTTCTACTTTCACCTTCGTGCATTTTATATGCACTTCTCGCATCTCTTTTCGCGAGAGTTATAAGCCCGGGAGGAATAGTATTCCTATACCTTCCGGCTGCTGCAAAAGGCACCCTTCTTAAATCCTTCGTGGCTCCCTTTTACCCCTCTTACTAGAAAAGCCGATTTTTAACCGACTTTTCTGCCCCCTCTTTCCGCAACGATGACAAAAATCGACTCCTCTGCCGTCCCTACGGTCCGTAGGACGATTCTAGCAGAGCCCCAAGATTGGGATAAGTGGGTAAAGGAGCTACGGGCTCGTGTAGACAGAACCATCCACAATTTGGTCTTCTCTGATAAGCAGGACCCTCTCGAGCCCCCTCTTCGTCTAAGGGCAACGGACTTTGCAGAGGGAGCTACCCTCTTCTCCGAGCTAACCTCTGCACAGCAGAGAGCTTTTTCTGCTGCCTTAGGTGACTACGAAAGTCATCGAAAGGAATACCTTTACGAGACAAAGCTACTAACGGCTGCTCGTACGGCGATAACGGAATCCGTTAGTGCCGCAAAGCTAATCTCTCTTCGAGAGGAAGAGACTCCTAGGCAGTAGCTTTTAAAGCTCGAGACCTCGACAGCTCCCTCGAGAGGTTATATGACTGACCGTATTAGGAAGACCTATACGGCCCACCTAGGAGCTTTTTCTGCTAGGAACCTACTAGCTTCTTCGTGGCTAGCTAAGTAGGAAGAAATCCTCGAGGAAGCTAACTAATACTTCCTAATAGAAGCTCTTTCCGGCTAGTGGCTACGGGATATATCTCTACTAATAAAGCCTATTAGTGACGGTTACTCGACTATCTTTCGAGAAGCTAGCCGGGAACTAGACGAAGAGGCTGCCAGAGTATAACAGCAAGCAGTCTTATTCCTTCGTGGCTAGCACTCGACACAGACAGCACGACCTGCAGCTGCTGCAGCCCCTGTTGCTGCGGCCCCCGCTGCTGCTGCTGCGGCTGTTGCTCCTTCGGCTCCTCCTCCCTCGAGAGCCTCAACCCCGTCTTCAACAGCTGCCCCAGTCCCGGCCCCGGCTTCGCCTTTTACACCGGGCCCGGTCCCGTCTATCAGACCGGCCCGACTAGTCCCCTAATGGACCTTTTAGTCCGTTAGTCGAAAAATCAGGGAACTAGTCGAAATCGAACCTCTTCGTTAAAATCAGCAATAAGGGGTAAAAAGGGGGGGTTTTCAAGCAGACCTTCCGGACCGGGACGAGGATTCCTCGAAGAAACAACGTACGAGGAGGAATCGACCTACCTACCAAGCGTGCAAAAAGCCCCATCGGCTAGAAGACTGCTAGCAGGTCTTCGAGGAAAACCGACCCGAAGGAGTCAACCCTTTAAAGAGGCTACGAGAAATAGTATAACAATCTCTTAAGGAGGACCCCTCGTTGCAGAAGAAGATAGACGAGATTCGGGTTGCTAAGAAATAGTAACTAATAACGCCGCTGCCCTTATTCGAGCCGCAAATTCGAGGAAAAATCGTTAGTATAGCAAATCCGGCATTCGTCTTCCCCACGGATCAGCAAGACCAACCGTTAGGACCCTCCGACTATCCCCTACGAAAATCAGCTATCCTTGACTCTAGTGCGTCCCTCGATATATGCAATACACTCTCACGATTCCGGTCCTTTAAGAAGGCACGAAAGGAATATCTTATTGCCGGGGAATTAACCGTACGGATAGAAGGATATAGAAGGGTAAATTTCACGATGAAATTACCTAATGGATCTATACGAATTCTTCGAAGAAAAAGGGTAGCTTTTTGCCCTCGATTTTCAACGAGCCTGATTTCCTTCCGCCTTCTTCGTAAGGAAGGAATCTTCTAGGATACGACGTCTAAGCCTACGAGGCTAGTCTAGAAGAATTAGACTATTGGGCTTATCGAGGAGAAATTCGGTCAATTTGTTCTCGAATTCCGACCTATCGTTAGGAAGGAACCTCTCGAGAAGTCAGCTTTCCCTGCTAGGAGGAATAGGTCCACCACAAAGGACCCTCTTCCGGCAGCCCAAGGAGACGGTCTTCTTTGGCACGCACGACTTGGTCACCCGGGCCCCCTAGCTTTGCATAAGCTAGGCCAACAACAAGGCGTACGAATAAGGGGCCCAAAGACCGTCGAATGCGAACACTGCGGCCAAGGAAAGACCAGGAGACGAATTTCCAGACGAACGCCGTTACGGCCGGACCAGCCGTGTAAGGAAATTTGGGTCGACTGGACCGACGTCTCTAGGGATCAGGAAAGCTTCGTTAGGGTGATGTTTTTCACAGACGCCTTTTCAGGGATGGTTTTCCCCTATTTCTTACGGACCTACCTAAGCAAGCATAACTGGTCTGCCCTCCGGGACTTCGTTAACTAGATGAAATCCTACTTTGGCTACGAGGTAAAGAAGATACGGTCTGACGGAGAGCTATTTACGAAGGATATCTTAAATTAGCTTCGAAAAAGGGGCATTTTACCCCTCCCGTCAGCACCGAATACCCAGGCCCAGAACGGAGGGGCAGAAAGATTAGGGGGTGCTGTGATAGAAAGGGCCCGTACGATGAGACTTACTGCAAAGCTTCTACACGACCTTTGGAGGGAAGTCGTTGAGACCGCCTGTTACCTTCGGAACCGGACCCCAAGGGACCCTAGGGGACTAAGGGACTATAGGGACCCAGAGACCCTTTTTAAGACCCAAGGAATAGATTGGAAATCCCCCCTCGAGCTCTTTACGAAGAAAAGGGCCTTACTAGCCCACCTTCGTGCCTACGGCTGCAAGGCATACGCAATGACTGCCGATGCACAGCTAAAAAGGAAGAAGAAAAGAAAGCTTGATCCTAGAGCCTTTATTGGTTACCTCGTTGGGTATAATTCTACGAATATCTTCCGGATCTAGATTCCTCTTCTACGGAAGGTTATTTCGACTAGGGATATGATTTTCGACGAATCTAGCTTCTTCGACGGAAAGAGGGATCAACAGCCCCTCTTACTCTCACAACGTCAGCTAATTCAGAAGATCTAAATCCCCCCTTCCTAACAGTCTTAAGAAGAGGTCCTAGACGAGGAAACGGAAGAAGAAACCGACGTCGAAGCAGTCGAGGATAACGCCGACTTCGAAGAAGAGGAAGCTGCTAGATCAGATGATCTAGACGAAGAAGGAGACTATAGGAAAGCGGTAGAGCTAGAATACGCCTACCTACCTACGCCTCCTCCTACGCAAGAAGAAGATCTAGAAGCAGTTTTTCAGTCAGTCTTCCGTCTCGACCTAAGGGGTGGAAAGGCACCTCTCGAAGGATTACCCGACTGCCTTTTGTCCCTGCTTCGAGAAGCAAAGGAAGGTATAGGGCCCGATACAAAAGAAGACCAGTTTCTCCCCTATTTCGATCGTTTTTCCGACTTCTATCCCATGCCTATAGAAGACGGTTCCCACGGAGCGTTCACAGCAGGCCAGCTCTTCAAGCCACAGCTATCAGCAAGGAAGGTACATAAAAGAGACCTCCCGGACCCACTAGCAAACCAGAAGCAGCTAGAAAGACATCCTTTTAAAGACTAGTTTTTCCAGGCCTAGAAAGACCACCTAGCCTTACACGAAGAGATGGGGTCTTTCGAAGAGGTCCTAAAGGAAAAAGCAAGAGGAAAACAGGTCCTTAGCTGTAAGTGGGTCTTTATCTATAAGACTAATAAACACGGCTTCCTTTAAAAGTGCAAAGCCCGGCTAGTTGTCTGCGGGAACCAGCAAGAAAAAGGGGATCTTCCTACTAGGGCAACTACCCTAGCAGGGATGTCTTTTCGGACCCTTATAGCTATAGCAGCAGAATTCGACCTCGAGCTCGATCAGATAGATGCAGTCAACGCCTTTGTTAACTGCCTACTCGAGGAAGAAGAAGTTGTCTACATGCGCCTTCTACCAGGCTTCCAACAGCCAGGAAAGGTTCTACGGCTTAGGAAAGCTCTATACGGATTACGAAGATCACCCCTTCTTTGGCAATAGCATTTAATAGGTTCCCTCGAAGCCCTAGGCTTTAAGAAAGTCCCTTAGGAACCGTGTATAATGCAGAAGGGTAAAATCACGGTCTTCTTCTACGTCGATGATATTATCTAGGCATACCTAAAAGAGGAAGAAGCTGCTGCAAGGGAGGCTATACGTGGCCTGCAACAAAGGTATAAGATGACCCGGCTAGGGGAGCTAAAGTGGTTCCTAGGGATACGAATCCTTCGGAATAGGTCCCAACGGACTATCTAGCTTACCTAGGACGCCTATATTAATAAGGTCGCTTATAAATTCCTCCCTAATTCCCTCGATAAGAAGCTTCCCCCTACGCCTATATCAGACGAAGAGCTTTTACCTGATCCGTCCTTTTAAGCCAGGGAGCAAGAGAAACACCAATATCAACAGAAGGTGGGCTCCCTGCTTTTTTTAGCTATTTCTACTAGACCGGATATCTCTTTTACGGTCTCCCGGCTAGCTAGGCACAACCAGAATCCTAGCCCTAGGCATCAAGAAGCAGCAAACAGAGCTATCCTTTATCTCTATTCAACGAGATCATATAGTCTGCGCCTAGGAGGGCAGGGAAGGAAACAAGCTGCCGAAATCTTCCTCTGTTCGAGCGATTCGTCCTTTGCAGATAATTCCTTAGACAGAAAGAGCTCACAGGGGTATATCATGTCCCTTTTTGGAGGAACCATTGCTTAGAGAGCTTCGAAGCAGGCCACCGTTACGACTTCTAGTACGGAGGCAGAGCTACTAGCTCTTTCAGAAGCGTTAAAAGAAGCGATTTTCCTTAGCCGGCTGCTAATATCGTTACGACTGCAAATTCCGACCCTATTAGCTATAGAATGCGATAACACGCAGACTATACGAATTCTTACGGAAAACAGCAAGTTGTCGACCCGGCTACGGCATATCGATATCCACTAGCATTGGTTACGCTAAGAGGTCTAAAGGGGACTTATTTCCGTCCGTTGGGTTCTAACGGCATCGATGAAAGCCGACGGTCTTACGAAGCCCCTGCCGAAGCAGAAGCTAGCTATCTTTTTACAGCAAATTGGGCTAGAAGACGTTCGAGAGAAGCTGTCCTTAGAAGCCCGCCTTGAGAGTCTACGAGAGGAGCTAATAGCCCGTACGAGAAGGTAACGTCTGCAGCCGAAGAAAAGGAAGAGGTTTTTCCCTTTAGAGGGCCCCCTATTTTGATTGGGTTTTTCCCTTCTAAGAAGGCCCTTTCTTATAGGACTTTCCCTCTTTGGCCCCTTTTCCTTAAGTAGGTCTGAAAGAGCCCAGGGACGAAAGGCCCCTGCTTTCCTCGAGTAAAGGGAGAAGTGCAGAGCTAAGAACCTCCTCTATACGCTCACCAGCCCGAAGCCGTATTAGCTATGCCCTTACTATAAGGGCAGGCCATAGCTAAGGGTGTGTGAAGCGTGGCCTGATTTCGCAGTTCTCGAAGATATCCCTTGGCAAGAGGGACCAAGGAAGCTAGAAACACCGGTGTAGAAGAAGGAGCCGAGAAGAGGTGCAGAAAGGAGGGTGGGGCATAAGGAAAGCATAAAGTGGCGAGAGATAAGACGGATATGCCGGAAACGGCTGCAAAGGAAGGAAAAAACCGGCAAAAAGCTCGGTAGTTGAAAGGACATCAGTGGCTTCTTTAAGCAGGATCTTCTTTGTTAATTGAGATGCTAGACGGGTATAAATAGGGGCGTTAGATAGAGGAAAGAAGGACAATCAAGGCAATACAACAATCACTCCCCTACTGCAATTGCTGCCCCCGCAAGATTCAAACATCTCTGCCCTGCCTGTCCGACCCCTTACTTCTACTTTCACCTTCGTGCATTTTATATGCACTTCTCGTATCTCTCTTCGCGAGAATTATACTTAATATTAGTTATAGGTTCTTTTAATAATAGTTACTTTATAATATAGTTAAAAGCTATTAGATCTTATAGTTTCTCTAGTACTAATAGTAGTTATAATTCTTTATATAGTTTATATTATTTAGCTTTACTTTATATATAAAGTTTATATTCTTTAATAACTTATTATATTAGTTTTTTAAGCTATAAAAAGTTATATTATTATTTAATTTATTTTATTATTCTTTAGATTCCTTAATATCTATATATTAGATATTTATATATATCTTATATAACCTTATCTTATTATATTAATAGTATCTAGAATTTATTTTTATTTATTAGAACTTCTAAATATTTTATATTATATCCGTTTAATACTATATATTCTTTTATTTATTTTAGGATCTTTTAGTATATTAAGTTATTAGGTTATACTTTAAATATTATATTTAGCTATCGTTATTAATAGTTATTATTTTCGTTAATTTCTAAGAGCTATCCTTTTATTATAAGTGCCCTTATATTATAGTTACTTTATCGACTAAGGGTATTAGCTTAACCGTTTTTTATTCCTTTTTATAGATTATTTTATAGTCGAATTCTAATAAGTATTTAGTATATTAAATCTATTATCTATTTAACTATTATATTATTATAAAGTATAAGATATTTTTATAATCTATATAAACCTTAACTTTATACTTACTTTTAAGAAGGTAGTATTAAAATTCCTTAAAAGCTTAAATAATTATAAGGGATTCTTTATTATAAGTAAAGTAATTAAGTTTTATACTATATAGCCTCTTTAAATAAAATATAATTTATTATAGTCTTTCTTTATTATCTTTTTATTTAATTTATACTCCTAAAATAAAGTTTAAGTTATTAGTTTTAAGTTTAATTTATTATTATTATTATTAAGATTATACTAGTAACCTATCTAAAGGTATCTAGAACTTCGACGTTAAATAGGAGGGAAAAACTAAAGTGCTTAGAGGAAAACCCTCCCCTCTTTCGTAGCTGGTCCGCCCTTATACCGGGTCGCGGTTGCAATACATAGGAATCTTACGCCGGCTATCTTAGGTATCGTTATAGTTAGTCGGAATCGCATTAGCCCCTATAAAGTAACCTTAGAAAGTGACTCCTTTACGTACGCGGGGTATATAGCGTTAATCGGTGGTACGAGCGTTTTTAGTTAACGGTTAATAGTTAATTATATAATTATCTCCGACCTTATCCTATAACGATATCTTCCCGGGCTCTGCCTTGTTTTTCCGCCGTAAGGCTTAGCGGGCTATTTTTTATTAATGCCGGCCTTTAGCCGGGCCGGTAGTCGGGTTATCGCACCGGCTTCGCGCCGTACTTATTGAGTTGCTAGTATCGGCCCCGGGTTTTTATTTTCCCGCTCGGGGGGCCCGGACCAGGGTTAGGGGGAGGTCCTAACGAATTCGTCGCTAGGTCTAGGTAGGCGAGGTCCGGGCTAGCCTACTTATAGCGGGGCTAGACTGCTAGTGTATTTATAAGCGCTTCTAGAAGCGCTAATTAGCTAATTAATAAGTAGGTTAGCGTAGTCTACTAGTCCGACTAAAAATTAATCGTGCCCCTAGCCGGATTCGAACCGACTCTAGCGTTATAGCTAGCAAGCTTCCTAGGTATATAACTACTATACTACGAGGGTAGTTTAATTTATTATTTTAAATTAAAGGTAGTTAAAACTAGTTCTTATATAATTATAATCTTAATATATTTTAAAGCTTTATTAGCTTTATCGTTTTATATAAATCCTTTTTCCTTTTTTATTAAGTTATATAGTAGTAGTATAATCTTTCTAAAATCTTTAATTAATCGTTAGTAGTAATTTATAAATCCTAAGAAACTTTATATATCCTTAATAGTTTTTAGTATTAACTATTCTTTAACTAAGTTAATCTTATCTTTTATATTTTAAAGTATATAAAATGCCTTCTAGATATATTCCTTATATTCTTCTAAGGTATCTAAGAAGATTAAGATATTATATAAGTATATTACTATAAAGATATCTAAGTATTTATATAGGATATTATTAATTATCTATTAAAAGGTAGCTAGTATATTTATAAGTCTAAATAGTATTACTAGATATTTAAAAAGTCTAAATTTTATTTTAAAGGCTATTATTTATTTATATCCTTTTTTATATATATTAATTTATAGGCACTTTTATAGTTAAGGGCTATAAACTATTTTTTATTATATAGTTAATCTTATAGTTCTAATATAAGCGGTAATAGTATTCGGTCTTTTATTATAATATTATTTAAGCGTTTATAGTTAATAACTAGTTATAGCTTACTATTTTTCTTTTAAATTAAATATAATTAAATAGCCTACTTTAAATATTAACGTTTATATATATCTCTTTTATAGATTCTTATTAAGGTAGTTATATAGTATTTATAGTTATATAGTATTTATAGTTACTTTTTATTTAAGTTATAAATCTTTTAGAACGTTAGCGTTATTTTATCCTTAAGATAAGTTTTATAGTCTTATTAGCTATATTTAAGTAACCTTATCTTAAGTTCTTCCTTAAAAGGTCTATTATATTTCTAGTATTCTTAGGGGATATTCTCTATTTTATCTTATAAGCTTTATTCTTTCTTTTAAGAGCTAGGTTCTCTTAACCTAAGCTCTTTATTAATTTATTTAAGGTCTTTCCTTAAAGTAGTAATAACTCTTTAAATCGTTATATTATATCCTTTATTCTATTTATATTAAATACTAAATTATATAGCTATATTAATTAATATATAGGTTTTATTAGTTAATTTTATTATAATTATTAGTTTAGTTACTATTTTTACTTATATTACTAAAGCCTATAATAATTTACTTAAATATTTCTTCTTTCTATTTTATTTAGTAGCTAAATATTATAAAATTTTACTTTCTTTTAAATCTATTAGTCTTAGAAACTTATATCTTTATTTTAATATAGCTAGCTAGTTTTTTAGTTAATTAGTAGGTTACTCTCCTATAGCTATAGAAGTATTAATATAAAGTTATATTCTTAAATATCTATAATATTAAAGTTAACTTATTTATTATAGCCCTAGATATTAATATTAAGGTAATTAATCTTTATATTAATAATTCTATTAT